GAGAAATAGCTGCCCTGAGTTACACAGAAACTATTGATTGGGTAACCCCCGAGTCCTTTCCATGTCGTAGTCAGCAGCTCACTCTGCCTTCCTGTCCTCCGTCATTCACTCACATCCGGCTTTGCAAAGCGGTGGCTCACATCAGAGTCCCTGAAAAAACAAGGAGGCCGAGTGGCCCCTTCAATGACTTGAAGTCCCTTTAATAACCTTGTGCTTACAGCCTGGTTTGTTCCTGTCAGATTTCTCCTGCTTTCTAATCAAAACTCCTCTGTCCTATGTTCCAGTCTCTCAGAGTCCTCAGGAATATCTTGCTCATCTGATATGTGAACTACACTTCATGAGAATATGAATTTACAAATTACAAAGGAGCTTCTCCAGATATCTCATTTATTATTTCATTAGGCTGTACAACCATCTGTGGATAGCTCAATCTCACCATGGCAAATAAGTGTCATCTTCTATGTCAACTGTGATCAGTACCGAGAGATCTGGGCTCAACCAGGGTACTGTGATCAATTGGTGATATCTGAAATGTGCTTTGGGAGAGAGACAGGGAGATAACAGGGCTTATATATGGACAGTTGGTGGTGTGGGGGGAGGGCTTGAAGCGAAGCTGGCTGCCACCCCTCCCTTGATTTGAGCTATGTTCATAGGAAAGGGTTAGCTTCTTCATCCTATAAAACAGCAGCCTCTAAAACAGANGTGTCATCTTCTATGTCAACTGTGATCAGTACCGAGAGATCTGGGCTCAACCAGGGTACTGCGATCAATTGGTGATATCTGAAATGTGCTTTGGGAGAGAGACAGGGAGATAACAGGGCTTATATATGGACAGTTGGTGGTGCGGGGGGAGGGCTTGAAGCGAAGCTGGCTGCCACCCCTCCCTTGATTTGGGCTATGTTCATAGGAAAGGGTTAGCTTCTTCATCCTATAAAACAGCAGCCTCTAAAACAGAATCCTGGCTCTTCCAATCAAACCTGAGGGTGACTGGTGGTGGAGATTCAGGTATAAATGGAGGAGTGTTTGTGAGCAGATAAAGCTAGGATGCAAGGCACACTCAGCAAACTAAATGCCTCTTGGGGCCAGGCACTGTGCTTTACACTGGGGATGTGGAGACCAAAAAGGCATGATCCAAACCTGCTCTGAGGAGCCCAGAGCCTGGTGGGGAGATAACTGGTGCCAATTAGAGCTGGCCACAAGGAGCCAGGGGAGCGCCGGGCAGTATGTCCTCTGTCTGGCTCTGTGTTGGCCTCAGCAGGGCTTGAAGGGATCATTCTGGGAGTTTGGCAGCAAAGGGCAATAGGGGCACAGCGTGGGTGTCAAGGGCAGGGGGCAGGCATGGGGTGGAGGAGGAAGCAGGCTCCGGTTTCTGGCACTCCCTGCTTTTTCAGAACAGCCGGCCCTGTTGGTTCCAAGTATGCTTTGGTTCTTGCCCAAACCCAGCTTCAGTTTCTCCCTTTGCTAGGCAAGTCCCAGCCCCTCTGAAAAGTGGGCTGCTGTTAGAACCCCTAACACAGACCCTAGGACATCGCAGGCTCTTGGTATACATCAGTAGTGGTAGTGGTTGTCGTGAGATGATCATTTACTACCACTTGTCAGAGCCCAGTAGCTTCCTGAGAGTTCCAAGAGCCTTCAGTGCACAGAGGTCTGGGGCTCACAGGCAGGGTTCTTTTAAAAGATATGTAACATCTCTGGTGGGTCTTTGCTTCTCTGATGGGGAGGGTCACCCGGCTTCCTGGGTTCAAGGATATCCTCACTGCTCGGAATTTTGTGACACCAAATTTCGAAGAAGGAGCATAGGCCCTCACCCTAGGAATGCTTGGCTGGACCGCAGAATGGGGTCAAGACCTCACTGGGGGCACCAACAGGCCCTGCCAGTGCCCGCAGACATGCATGAGATGGAAAAACTTTGCTCAGTTGGGCCTGAGGACGCTCAGAGGCCAGGGAGGGGCTGTTGCCACCAACTCTCCCTCCGTGCTGGCAGCCCCGGCCTCACCCCCGCCCGGTACATGAGTCATCGATGGGAAAATGAGACAGGGCAAGTCTCAGCCGAGCAACTGGGAGTCTGAGGAGGTGGGGGAGGGAGGCCGAGGGGAGGAGGGATGGGCTCCTGGTCAGGGTGAGCTGGGGCTGGGAGCTGAGGCTTTGGCAAGAGGGAGCCTGTTGTGAGGGTGAGAATGGAGACTACTGGGAAGAGCAGGAAGGAGAGTCCATGAGCTGGAATTCCAGCTGGAGGGCAGAGTGGGGAGCTACGGGCATCACCGTATGTGATCCCGGGATCTTTCAGGAATGGATAGGCACCATGAGCAGCTGTCCCACCAGGGCCAGGACCTAAGGACACTGGCAAGACTGTCCCTGGCAGTGTGCCACGCAGGAGAGAGGCTGCACCAGGAGCCGTGGTTTGACCTCCTCCAGTGTCCTGCTCCGGTCTTCCCACCACAGTCCACCAAACTGTTCTGTCCAGAATGCAATTAATTCTCTGCTAAAACCCCGACCACTTCACTGCACAGGGAGGAGGCCAAGCTCCTTGGAAATGCCTGCTCTCCGCAGTCAGTGCTCTTTCTCTAGTGTCTATGTTCATACCCTCCACGCCCCAGACCCCTGCATGCAAGTCGCCCCCACTCCAGGACCCGCGCAGGCTGCCTCGCGCTGCCAAGCCTCTGCATACCACCTCTTCCTACGCATTTTTGTATCCTTGGCTTGGCTCTCTCTCCTGTCCCCACCTCTGAGAAGCCTCCCCTGACTGCCCTGCCTCCAGGCCAGGCTGAGTAAGTGCTTTCTGCTCCGTGCACAGCCATCCCTTCTGCCTTAGTCACACTGCGCTGCAATCGCTGGTTTATATGTCTGCCTGTCCCATCAGACTGATCGGTTCCTGGCCTTGTCATTTGTATATTCCTAGTTCCTCGGCATATCTAGCGCACAGTAGGCTCCTGATAATAGTAATGGCAAATGGTATACAAGGGTATTTCAAAAAGTTCCTGGGGGCCAGCCCGGTGGCGCACTGGATAGTGCACCGCTTGGGAAGCGCGGCGGCACTCCCGCCCGAGGGTTCGGATCCCACATGCAGACCGGTTCCCGCTCACTGGCTGAGCGAGGCGCGGGAGCAACACCGAGGGTTGCAATCCCGTTGCCGGTCCCCGGTCCGGTACGGGGGCAACACTGAGGGTTGCGATCCGTTGCCGGACACGGAAAAAAGACAAAAGACAAAAGACAAAAAAAAAAAAAAAAGTTCCTGGGAGAGTTCTATTTTTGTGCATGCACAATTTAGAAGAAATAAAGCCTAGATGACATAAAATACAATGCCCACATGGATCACCAGAGTGCCCTGGAAGGAAAGAACAAACTGAGTGGTCCAGGGCTGGCCCTACCACTAACTTGAGATCGTTGGAAAATTCCCCATCTCTGTGCCTTGGTTTTTCCCTTTAAAATGAAGAAGCTGCTCTAACTATTGGAATTCAATGCAAGTAACAAGTATTTTTGACCACTTTCCAGGTGCCGGGCTCTGTGCCAAGCCCTGCAGATAGGCAGAACAGGATGACATGGTCTCTGCTGTCACAGATTATAGACTGCTGGGGCAGGCAGCCCTTCAACAGGGCAGCACAAGGAGGTGAGTGTTCAGAAAGGGCAAGAACAGATTGCTGTCGGA